CCTCCCACCCAGGCTGAACTCGAGGCGCTACTATAGTAGAAGCCAGAAAGTTGGAATATGGCTTTAGGAGGATTAATGCTAGGATCCCTTATACTTTCCCTTAAGGGCATGGGGATTATGATGTTCCAACTTTCTGGCTTCTACTATATAGGCCCAAGGGTCCGAAGGATCCAATAATTAGGTACTCCGTTTTAGGAAAGTAGTTATGTAGGTTAGGATTTGCAGAGTATATGATTATTAGGTACTTGGACTCTTAGGGTAGGGGCCTTAATGATTGGAATAGTATAGGTAATTATTCAGGCCCCTATATTAAACCCTAACTCCAAAACCCCTTACACAAGGGACACAAGCGAAAGCTAAACCATGGCTGTCTAGGGTGTTACGTTTGCAGTCTTGCAGTGTAAAAACCTGCCTGACGCGCATGTTTAGGTGAGTGTCCATACACATGTCTAACATTGAGTTTTAAGCCCTCTATTCTCAGCTCCTTTTTTGGGTTTCGGACCTTGTGGGGAGCACCTTTTGCGCACCGGGCTGCCTCACTTAGCGTCAGGCGGGCTGGTGCGCGGAAGCCTTTCTACTGGTAGCTGAGGGGACCGCTGTTCAGGGACTTAGGTGATGGAATTACGGTTTTTTAATGGTTTTGGGTATACAGGGCAGTGGCGATTATCTTGGGTGTGTACAGCGCCGGCGGGGTTCAGGGTCTAGGGTGTTGATATCTTCAAGATTTGAGTGCTTCAGAGTTTCCAACCCCTGAGCCCAAAGCTCCGAAGCCCCTCCTCCACCACCCCTTGACTCCAAACCGAAACGCCAAGCCCCAAAACCCCTCCTCGACACGAAACACTAAACCCTAAACCCTTTACCCTAAACCCTAAACCCTTTACCCTAAACCCTTTACCCCCCTAAACCCTAGACTCGCAACCGGTGGGTTCCCCGTAAAGACGGTCTCCTGAGTTGCCTGCAGAGTTCCGGGAACCCGGAGAAACACAAGAAAGTTGTTTCATGTTTGGCTTGGGGTTTATGGGGTTTATTAGGGAATTTGTGACAAGCTGATAATCAATCAAGATCTTCTGAATGGCGTCTATGCTCTGTTCCCCCATTCTTCTGCCAGAGACTACGGAGATGAAGCCGTGAGACTAGCGTTTTTGGTGCTTTCTTAGGTGCCAAATACATAAAGATCTGAAGGAATGTGAGTGTTGCTACGTACTCAGGGTCGTGAATTGCATAGCTGCATTCGCGGTGTAGGCTTCCAAGGCGCTGTTGCAGACTGTACATCACCAAAGTGAAAGGGTTTAGGGTTTAAGGTTTTTTCGGGTCCTTTTGCAGTGTTATGCAGGACCCAAATCACTATACCCTGTGTTTCGTGCTTGCGGGGAGATTGTTCGAGACTATGGGCCTATTGGGGCATCCCAAGTTTGGATGAAAAGGCTTCCGAAGATACTGACAACTGAAGTCTAGGTACGCCCAGCCCCAAACTGTAGACCCTGAACCTGAATAGCCTAAACTCAGAGGGGTATCCCTAAGAGACAGCTAAAATTTCAACTTTATGCTCGGATCTTAGTTCAGTATACAGTAGAAGCCCAAAAGTTGGAAACACAATTGCCTCAATCCTTAAGAGTAACGTATAGGTAATCCCAGCGCTCTTTGGCCTTAATCCGGTTTTCCAACTTTCTGGGATTTGCTGTAGTAAAGTAAACTGTCAACCCATAGTTAACTCTGGCCTGACACTCTAAATAATAGACCCTCCCTTTTTGGAGAAACGCTTGCAGCCCATAAAGAAGCCCCATTGTAGCAACCTTAACAGTAATGCTAGACGCTAAAACTACTAGAGTCTGGAACCTAAAACCCTAAACCGTCATGGTAACCCCCTAAACCCTAAACCCTAAACCGTGACCGACTCCACTGTGCTCCTTCGGGCTCCGGTCGTCTTCGTGTTTCTGCTTCCATGAGGTAGCAAGTCGCAGGTCCGCCCCTCCGCGGGCCCATTACTTAATCGGTATCGAATCTCTTTCCCTCTGCAGCGTCTAGGGAGTTTGGGGATGATACCAGCCTGCGCACCCCGACGATTGCAGGAGCCAGGGTGTACTAGAATTTTTCTATGAGCTCCTTTTCAAACATGGATCCCTGATTTAAAACCCTCTGAGCTGAGTATAGTATTGGGGGGAGGGGGTTTTATTTCTTTTGGGTTACGGCCCCTGCATTGCGAGGTTGAGATGTTCGGTGTAAGGGTCTGGGGTTTGAAGTATTTTGTCTTACACTTTAGGCCCCTGATGAGGACTTGAAGGTGTTTGGTTCTAGGGTTAGGGTTTAGGGTTTAGGGTTTAGGGTTTAGGGTTTAGGGTTTAGGGTTACCGAGTTATGGAGAATTCTGGGGTTCCGGGTTTAGGGCTAGTGCTGAAACATACCTTTGGGACTTTGGGGCTTAAGGCTTTGGTTTCAGGAAGTCGGGTTTGGGGTGAGTGCTCGGGTTTCCAGGCCGAAAGAAATTGGGTGCCAGAGTCCCGAGTTCATGTCGAAGAGTTCAGGGTTTAGGGTCTAGGGCTTAGGGCATAGGGCTTAGGGCTTAGGGTTTAGGGTTTAGGGTTTGGGTCTAGGGCTTAGGGTTTAGGGTTAGGGTTTAGGGTTTAGGGTTCGGGTCCAGGGCTTAGGGTTTAGTGTTTGGGTCTAGTTGCCTTCGTCGTCTTGGCCAGGAGAAATACAAACTAGGACCTGGATTAGGCCCTTAGTCCCTTTTAGTAAGTAGGGTTCGGGTTTCCTTAAAAGCTCCTTTGAACCAAAACGGGCACCCTTTCTATTCCTAGGTTACTCATGGGTCTAGCAAACCTCAAGCCTAAATCGTAAGCAGGGACACGAACCTGCGGCCCACACCGCCGAGCCTGGCCGCGGGGATCTCTTGCCCCGCACAGCGCTCAATCATGAGGGCGGTTGACAGAACTATGGTCCCTTTTTCAGTACGCCAAATATGAGGTGCCGTATTAGACAAAGGACTCCTTTGAAGGACCCAAAAAGGGACCATAATTTTGACAATCACCCATGAGGTGGACCCTACTGACTGCAGAATCGCTGTCACGCAGTTTCTGGTTGAGCATAGCTACCAAGAGCAATGTGAACAGGAGAATCAGCACGATAGATTCATGCTATGTGCTGATACTGGACATGAGCATGATAGGAGTGCCAATACGATGTTTGGCAACAGCTAGCACGTTCACGACACTCAAAAACCATGAAATCCCGTTGGGGCTTGTAGATGCTTGTCTCGAGCCACCGGAAAACGGCATTCTAACTGGACTCTACATCCAACGCCCGAAGCCCTGGAAGCACGAACTCCGTGGTTTAGGACAACATGGGAGTTTTCGAAAATAGGGGACCCTGATTTAGTACCCCAAATAGTAGGATCCTTATTATAAGGACCCCAGAATAAGGTACCCCTAATTTTCGGAAACTCCCACGTGCTCAAGCTCTGACTTTCGAAGCTTCAGCCCTACCCACGTCAACAGCTCAAAACTGCCACTCCTCCAACCTAGGCTGTAGGATTGCTCGTCCACACCCTCTAAACCCTAAATTCTGAAGACATGAAATCCTGAAGCTCGTGAGCTTATCTCGAGTGGCACCGCGTTCCGCAATTTTTAGGCAGCTACCTTCTGAAGTGCAACCTCTCATACAAGGGCACTTAGCCTGAGTATCAGAGTTCTTTTGGGGTTTAGGGTTTAGGGATTGGGGTCGAGGGTCTAGTGGCTCAGGGTTAGTCTTATACAAAGTCACAACATAATGTACGACCGCAGGTTGATCTCATGACCTAAACCCCTGTGATCTACCCCAGACACCTTCTGTACTAGAATCCTTTCAGTCCCGCCGTCGCGATGGTAGCGGTTCTGCAGTCGATAATGTTGCATATCAGCGGTGCTGAGTCTTCCGGGGCGAGCCTGCAAACCGTAAACTGCCGGTACTGATGTTGCTGTTGGCGACTCACGACTTGCTTGTGTTATTGACTCTGTGGTGCTGCCAGTGCATGACGACCAGGATCCGTGTGAACGTTGCACGCTGCGTGCCTGCCGCCATCGGGATGAACTTTGATGTGCGGGCGATGATGACCTTCGCAGCTGTAGCTGGCTGCCAGCTGCTGCTGCTACAATAACAACTACTACTCCCAGTGCTACCCCACTCCTACTCCTGCTCCTGCTCCTACTCCTACTGCTACTGCCACCCACTACTACTACTACTACTACTACTACTACTACTACTACTACTACTACTACTACTACTACTACTACTACTACTACTACTACTACTACTACTACTCCTACTGCTGCTCCTGCTACTGCTACTGCTACTGCTACTGCTACTGCTACTACTACTACTACTACGACGACGACGACTACTACTAGCACTAGTACTGATGACTGATGCTAGTACTAGTACTGGTACCTCGTACGAGTACGAGTATGAGTACTAGTACTCGTACGAGTATGAGTACCGGTATTCTTATTACATGAACTACTGATACTAGTAGTACGAGTAGTAATACTACCTGTATTTTGTACTAGTATACTTCTGGTACTACTCGTAGTAGCACTATAAGTTACTACTGCTACTGCTACGAAGACGACGACTGCTAGGGCTACGGTTGTGGTTGCAGCCACTGGTGCTGCTACTGCCACTGCTACACCGGCACTGCCTCTGCAACTGCCACTGCTGCTGTTGCGACGGCCGTCCCCACTGCTACTTCCAGCATGATACTGGCACTGGCTGATCCTAATGCTGACAGTGGTGCCAGGGGTAGTCAACGAGACTGGCGCGCTTCGCGATCCCTCAGCCCCACTCACCATAATCTCTTGTCAGCCCAGAAGACGTGCCATCCGCGGTGTGGCAAAAAGGACCTGGGTAAGGTTGGATTTTTTCGTTTCCGGGCTGATGCTCACGTAGCAGAAATTGGGCAGCCGGTAACCCCAAAATTGAGCACACACGTTCTGACATACGGAGCGAGCCCTCTTCGCTCTCGCCAGCCTTACGCGGCCACAGTGCCGCCGCGTACACCACCACCTGGGTCTCTGCAGCTACGCAGGGGCCTCTGATGTGGGGCGACAGCTAATGATACCTATCCTATTTTGGGGGTTCCTTGTTATGCAGTACAATGTAATGGGGCCCAAAACCCTATTCTAATTATGGTGACGGACAGCTAAGGCCATGTGCTGATTGTTTGCGGTTCAGGCATTCGGAATCCTGTCCTGTGATAGGCGTTGAACAGCTCGTACTTGGAGGTTCATGAGTAGTTATAAGTAGGGTTATAAGTAGGGTAGCTATACTTATAACCCATATTAGGGGACTTATAACCCCACTTAGAACGACCCATGAACCTCCAAGTAGTCAAGGCGTGAGTGGAACTCCGCTGGCTGTTGGAGTCGAGGCTATAACAACAAGGCTTCATCAGGGCTTCTGCTTCACACCTGAAATTGGTGCCTGTTTGTTATTAACTGGAACCGCAATCGGTAGGGCCTTCGAGGCAAGGATTTTGGCATTGTGTTTGGTTGCTTGGCATAGTAGTAAGCCACGTTGAGTTATGAGTAGTTTTTGACCCAACACACGGGGCCCTGGACTGTTATGACTTAGGTCTAGGGCCCGTCTAGGGCTCTAAACACAGTTTCCCACAAACAGCCTTGAATAAGGATGGGAATATTGCTTAACTGCAAAACAGGGGATGTGACGGCGAATCAGAGGCCTACATGTCTACATGTGGGTGTTGGTCAAAATTATGGGCCCTTCTGGAGTTCGGATTATATCATACTGTATACGCCTTATAGTTCAGGGGACCAAAACGGGCCCGTAATTTTGATCAACCCCCCAAGGTCTCTGTGAAGCCCTACAGCCTAAACCCTAAACCCTACATGTCTACATGTGTCTTGGGGGCCCTAATCTCGAGCTAGAGCCTGTAAGGCCGGTGCTTTTCCTTCGTTTGTTGCACACACCTTGATCCGAAGATGCTGCTGCTAGGCCCCAAGCCCTAAGTCTTATATAGGGGCCTTAAGAATTACCTATACTATGTTGTTGAGTTCCTTATTCATGATTACGATTCGATAGTATGATAGACCCCAAAACCCTATTCTAATGATTCAGGCGCCTATACTAGGGTGTATGGAGGGCTTGTTATGATATGGCACTCGGGACCCAGCAAGCTTTCTATGATAGGCTCCTCAGCTCGGAATAGGCTCACGGCTTGGCCAGGGATTTGAGAGTAGCATGTCCCTGCCCGGGTCTTTGTACGATGCGATTGTTACCGCCTGGGTTCCTAAGATGCCACAGCAAACCCCATCAGTGAAGAAGAAGGTGCTCAGCTTAGACTTTGGGTTTACAACCTCCGAAAAAGCCCTTATAGTACGCCTTGCTCAGGTGTGCAACGGGCGGCTTCGACCGTCGGGCACTGTATCTTGGTTGAATTCAGTGGGAGCTGCAGTTGACACATGATTGCTTTCTATACACTGACGCGTCAACAACGCTACAGCGCAGCAATTCAAGATCAGGGATTTCGGGCGTCAGTTTCGAGGATTTTCGTTGACAGGGTTTGGGACTTCCAAGGGCCTACACGTTTAATCTTACACCCTGCGCACCGTCTGTGCTCGCCGGCGTAACCGCCAGCCCTCTTACAGGATCCCGGGCACAAATCAATAGATGCTTGCAAGCAAGGTAAGCAACATTGAAGTTCAGCTCGAGCGGCAAGTTGAGAGACTTGTGACTGAAACTGTCATGCTTCCTAGCAACTCAAAACCCGAAAAACTGTCCCGAAGCCCATCCTTTCTTGGGATCTTGCCTACAGGAAACCGCTAATGCCTCAGCTTAACGCCCCGAAACCTCCGAAACCTTCAACCCCCAAAACCGCTGCGCTTTAAGCAGCCAGAAACCCAGGCACTGATCCCCAGATAACCCTTACAGGAACCCGTGCAGAACCCGTATGCACAAAGCCCTCACAAAGGCCGTGAACAAGTGCCACATTATCCCTAAGGGTTCCTGCGTAGTACAATGTGCCCCACAACCTTGTTCTGTAATTTTGAAGGGCCCTAGATGAAACCCTAAACCGTATACCTTGCCTATTTACATTAGGTAAGCCCTTGATCTTAGTCTTGAGGTACTGGGACATTCGAAGTCCGCATCGTCCTTCCATCAGCCTCGGCGTTCGTGCCCATGTCGGGATCCCACAGCCTTCAATGAATTCAGAGCTTTGGGGCGTTGGGGTTAGGGCGCTGAGGGTGCTTAGGGCTCTTGCGGGTTTCGGTGTGAGAAACCCTGAACCCTAAACCCTAAAGGTTTCCGGGTTTCGGGGTTCGACTGCGCCTTGGGATGTTTGGCCGGGGTAGAGTCTTGGAGCGTCGCAGAGCCCCCTAAACTTCTAGCTAGCAGAGCTTTGAAGCATTCTTTGGGTTGCTGGATGCCGCTTATTGGCACTGCCTAAACCCACAAAAAAATAGGTAAAACCACTAGAAGGCGATTATTCTACATACTTTTGGTGTCTAGGTGTTTGCTTGCCGGGCTTGGGTGTCAGGGGCCTTCATGTTCGATGGGTTCCTTATTATATTTATAGCATAATATACCCGAAACTCTGCTCTAATTATTAAGGCCCCTATATTAGGGTTTTGAGTTTAGGGGTTTAAGGGTTGTCGGGTCTGGTTGGATTTTGAACCTGGGGTCATTCTTGCCTGCTCTCTCCTCCGGATCAAGGCAATGCCCGCCTTAGCCTGACTGTTTTGGTAGAAATATAGGGGCCTTAATTACCTATACTATTTTGGAAGTTCCTGATTATAACTATCGTTTACTATACCCCCAAACCCTATTCTAATTGTTAAGGCCTCCACAGTATCTGAAATTGAGGGAGACTCCTCAGTGTGAGTCCCAAACCCTCATCTCCAAACCGTCTCCACCGTAAACATCCGTAGGAAGCTTCGGGCCCCTCAGGCTTACATCGATCCCTTATAGCACCCTGATAAAGGGAACTCCAGAAAGTTGGAATTCAGGGTAGGATACCTTATAATTTACCATAAAGGGGTTACGATAATGATATTCCAACTTTCTGGCTTCTACTATATAGCACCCTCATAGATCCCTTGAAAAGGAACCCGAAAAATGAGAGGCCTCTCAGTGTCCCTGCGTGAGGTCTACGCTCTGGCTGCGCAGGGCTCAGAGCTCCTGGTGGGCCAGGGAGACGGCGCCATCGCGCGAACGCCTCAACTTCATTGACTTGGGCTTCAAGGGGACTTAGTAATTAAAGGGTTCTTCAAGGGCTCCTTAAAGGGATCTATGGGGTTCCTTAAAGGGATCTATGGGGTGCAGGGTTTTGTAAGGGTTTTTTCGGGGGGTTTCCCAGTGCAAGGGTTGTACAGGGTTACATGACGTTTAAGGGTTCTACTTCTGTGGGTTCTCTGCGGGGGTTTCGGATTGAGCGTGTAGATTGGGAAATTCAATGTGAAGCTAAGGTTTGGAATGCTGCTGCTACTACTTTACTACTACCACCACGACGACGACGTCGCCTACGACGACGACGACTACTACTAATACTAATTCCAATACTAACCATAGTAATACATTGGCGAAGGTATGCCTGAATTGCTGTCTAAACCCTAAACCCTAAACCCTAAACCCTAAACCCTAAACCCCTAAACCCTAAACCCTAAACCCTAAAGCAAGGGCTGTGTCCGAAAGCCAGAGAACCCCCCCTCAGTTAACAACAACACCCACAGGCCCTTCGAAATCCATTGACTGCCTGAACCCTAGACCCCAAATCTGTCATTGCGCTGAGCCACATCCAACTTTTCTGGCTCGGGTTGCTGATGCACTGGGGAGGCAGACCTCGTACTGTTCATTACCGTTTAGGGTTCAGGGTTTAGGGTTTAGGACAGTGCCAGTGATGATCTGCGCCGAGATCGGCCAGGTTTCCCCCCCGGAGTGGAATCATGTGCCGATCACATCGGCTGGTGTGACCGAGACACTGGACCTCCCAGTGCGCATACGTTTCTCAAGCTCGACTCATACTCAGAGCCCTAAACCCTGAACACACCCACAACCAGAAATCCTTCTTCCTTACCCCCCCAACCGTGAAACCCTAAATCTTGGAGCCCTCATTATAATACACAAGTAAGGCTCTTTGAACGAACCCTTGCTGCAGATCGTACTAGTTGTAGCCCAGGCGCTGGGACCTACGTGCTGCTCGGGAGCCTGCAGCAGAACTTCGAGGGCACCGCGGCGCGGCCGGGGCCCAAAAGGGCCCAAGGTTGTGCATAGATACATGCAGAGGTGTCTATGTATGCATGTATGTATTAATGGAATGTATTTATGCATGTATGTATGTATGTATATATATATATATAGATAGATAGGCACGTCACGTATATGTGTATTATGTGCACATACTTACTTACATGCATGCAACTCTCTCTCTCTCTCTCTCTCACTCTCTCTCTCTCTCTCTCTGACGGCCATCTGACGAGTTCGCGACCAAGCCGAGCAAGAAGCAACAAGGTTGGGCCGCATCTGTCTCTAGGACTAACCCGCGGCCCCACCGCAGGATACGACACGGGAACGGTTGAACATGACAGCTCACCAGACCAGCAAGCTACAGTCCAGCGAGCCATCACTCAAACTTGCCGGTAGTGGCACTACGTCAAGGACTAACTTCGGTTCGGCGGCTCATTTGCCCCCCAAGATCTCGGTGAAGTGATCTACCACTTCTTGAACTTCCCTCTCCAGCCCACTTCTTGGTGCTTGTCCTCGCTTGAGTTTGCCGCCAGCATGGATCAATCCCTTCGTCAAGGCCGCTAAGGCCGGCTCCGCATCACGGTGGAGAGAGAAACACATCTTCATGCTGTCCCTGTCAAAGGCTTTGCGGACTTTGCACACATACACGATGCCGGACATGACGAGCGCGTCTGTTGACACTGCACGATGTTGCTCAATGGCCAGTCGGTCCTCTGCATTGAGAGCGTCGTCGTCCAATGCCACCCTCAACAGCGCCGCCCAAGCATGAACATCAGGCTCTCCTGGTGGAGCTTCACACTTGCCCGACTGCGCGCTCTTAGCCTTGTCAGCGTACTGCTTCGTGGCATCGAGCACGGCTTGAACGTAGGGGCAGGCTTTGGGGAGTATGCACGTCACGAAGCAGGCGGCCTGGAGTTCTCTTACTTCAAGAGAGTTCTTGAGGCACAACCTGGCGATGAGACGTACGGCCTTTGCCATGTCCTTCTCCGTCCCCACTGCGACACGCTTAGCCATCGGCCTTGCCGCAGGAGGGCCGAGCTCCCAAGCATCCATCGTGAAGCAGACGGGTTGCAAGCTACGTGGCTCACTATAGCTGCTCTTGGCGCCTGGGCCCAGCAACATGTTGGACCACGTGGTCCCACAATTGTGACAATGCTGTATCACTGGGAACTTCCGGCTCGAACACCCCAGCACTACCACTGCCAGTGCACTGCAATCGGTTCGCCTAATGTGTTGTTGCGCAGTGCGCCTGCTGCTGAACATGCCGGCAAAAAAGGGCATTGCTTTGTAATTGCCAGCTTTCTGTAGTCTGGAATGACTGCATGTGTACCCCCTTGCGTAGAGCGAACATGAACCGAAAGCTGCTGTTTGCTCTTGAAGGTGGCCCTGCATGCTGTGCCACCTTTGCACAAACAAGTACATCGGAAAGAAAGCTCTTCCAGATCTGCCTCCCCTCTCTCCTCTGTTATTCAGGTGGAGGGATGCAGACTGCAAAATGTTTGAGACAAACGGGGGACACGTCGAGCTTGATGTTCATACGTACATGCATACATGCATTCATACATACATACATACATACATACATACACATACATACATACATACATACGTGCATACATATATGCACGCATGCACACATGCATACATGAATGCATACATGCATGCTCGCAAACATGCATACATGCATTCATGTATACGTCTTTGCATCCATACATACATCCTTACATCCATGCATGCCAACATACACGTATACATATATGTTTTCATATATTTTTGTATATATATATATGGTTTCATCGGTACATATGTATGTATACACACATACACACACATACATATATATATATATATATGTGTATATATATATATATACATATACACATAGAGAGAGATAGAGAGAGAGAGAGAGAGAGAGAGAGAGAGAGAGAGAGAGAGCGAGAGAGAGAGAGCGGGACTTTTGAAAGGGTTTTATAAGGGAGCTGTAGAAGTTCCGGAGTTTGGGTATTCCAGGTGTGGGCGATTTTTGGTGGCGGGGGGGGGGGTTTTGGGTGTTTGGAGCTTGGGCTGTTTTGCTTCTGACGCTGGTAGACTGATTTGTCTTCGATTTGTCTTACCGGTGTCTCCTATAGCTGTAGCGGGCATGTTACAGTTTTGATCAGGGAGCTTCTGAACCTACTAGAGGTGGTCATTCAATAGGTTAGGATCAGGGATTTCAAACATTTAGAGACAATCGCCTGGGTCGACGTGCTGCCACTGGCCAAAGTTTGTAAGGGCTTCATGTTGCAGTACCGTGTCCAAGGTAAAAGGTTGGATGTCAGTCGCAGGAGTTTCGAGGGGGTTTCTAGAGCATCGTAGGCATGCTTGCCATGGCAACTAGGTGGTGCAAGCTCGTTAGGGGGAGGGAAGGGAGGGAGGAAAGGGCTACAACACAAGCGCTAAGGCTTACCTCCGCGGAACTGAGAAGACGCTCAAGAAACCACTATTGTAGGAACCTGATTAAGAGACCCTGGCCCTATAACCGCAATATATCAGGGCTCATATTAAGAACCCCAATGCACGCCCAAGGTTTCTTAATCAGGTTCCTACAGTACAGTAGACGTCCGCCCAGGTGGAAAGCCTGGCATTGCTCCCTGGCGGCGTGCTTCCGCCCAGAGAACCAGTCTCCGGGGCTTCGGGTCTTCGTGAACTGTCTCACCTAAACCCTAAGCCCAACCTAAACCCTAAACCCTAAACCCAATCGAGACCCCCCAACTAACCCTAAACCCTAGGCCCCACACCCCCAACTACCCCGCCATTACTTCCCCAAATCCGCTCTATTAAGGACCCGCGGCCTGGAAGGCCGGAGGCCCTAAACCCTAAATGAACGGTGAGGGTTTCAAATCTTTTGTTAAATTAAAGACGAAAAAACACAAAAAGGTATGATTGTGTTAAAGAAGCAAAAACATACTAGACAAAATGCGGTTCCCTTGCCAAATGCAAGCTCAGAACCGAAGCCCAAGCCCTTTGCGATTGTTGCTTGAAGGGTTGAGGTTGAAGTTTAGGGTGCTGGAAGGCCGTGACGTGCAGGTTCATTGGTATTTGGGTTGCACTAGAGTCAGTAGAGGGTGGTTGGGGTCAGTTTGGGTCCAGGGCTTGTGTTGAGGTTCGGGGCCGAGGTTGTCTACAATTGAACTGCTGCAGGAGCTGCATGTACAGGTGTTTTTGCATATTGCTTTTGTACATGTATACGTTTCTGCATGCATACACATGTGCATATGAGAGCCCAAGCACCCATGAGCCGCGGCGAAAGGTCCTCGCTTCTGTGGGAGCGGAAGGGCAGCTGCGGATCTGGGACGCCCGGGGCCAGCCGGGGCCGCTAGGGGGGGGGGGGTTCCTTTAAGCCCTTAGAGTAGGGTCCCCTTTCAGGGTACTAGAGGGTTCTGTGACAGGGTCGCCTTTAGGGGATCCTTGAAGGGATCCTTGAAGGGTTCCTGGTTTAGGGTTTCGGGTTCAGGGGTTTAGGGTTTGGCGTTTAGGGTTCAGGGTGTAGGGTTCCAAAAATCAAAGGGCTCCAAAGGTGGGATGAAGGTAGGTGGGATATTCCCACAGAAGAGTCCTTATATAAGGGATCCTTACTCCTACTTACCTTCATCCCACCTTTTGAGGCCTCCGAAAAATGGAATCAGCAAACAAACAAACCTGGTGGTCTTCTGCTTGTCATCCGTTCGAAAAGCCCGCGGCACAAATCACTCGGACCCAGAGCATCGACAGATGGCAGACGGCCCAAGACTTCACCCTCGTCTCCCAATGCGGGACGTTGAAAGGAGATCCGTTCAGATCTTTACATGCCTCTACCGGTCAGATCTTTGCATGCCTGTACCTGTACCTGTGTTCGTTGCCAACTGCCCCTTGCGCTAAACCCTAAACCCTAAACTTAAGATTTCATTAGGGCGTTTTGCTGCTATTTCCGAGTTCCTCATGCTGTTCTGACTTTTAGATGTTTGGCGCCCCAAGCTCCTCGCATGTGCACCAGCCTGAATCGTCAACGCAAGAGCCGGATTCAGAAACCTTGGGCCTTCTTTAGGGTTCTAAACCTTGGGCCTTCTTTAGGGTTCTAGATATGGGAGTTTCCGAAAATAGGGGTACCTTATTTAGGGGTCCTTATTATAAGGAGCCTACTATTTAGGTACTATATTAGGGTCCCTATTTTCTGTAACCCCCCATATGAATCCGACTATTCTGGGGACATAGGCCCAGGGTTTCTAAATCAGGTTCCTACATTACCCCTGATTACCGTTCCTTCGGGCTCCAGATTATCATTACCTGGACCCCAAAAGTACGGTTTAGGGTTTAGGGGTTTAGGGTTTAGGGTTTAGGGTTTAGGGGTTTAAGGTTTAGGGTTTAGGGTTTAGCCTTTTAACGGTATCGGGCCGTCATTTTACCTACTGTTGGGGGTTTATGCATAATACAACCTCCAAAGCCTCTTCTAGTTATTCTGGGAGCCGGAAGCTTGGCTTTGCCCACCGATCCCCTCCCATCGTGAGCAAAGCTTCCCAACCCGAAACCCTGCACCCTAAACCCAAACCCAAACCCTAAACCTTATCAGCCCTAAGCCCTAAACCCTAAACCTTACTTTAAGAGCCCTCAACCCAAAATTTACCCTAAACCCTGAACCCTAATCTAAACCCTAAACCTTAAACCCCCAACCCTAAATTTACCCTAAACCCTAAACCCTAACCCCTAAACCCTGAAACCTTAACCCTCAACCCTAAACCCTAAACCCCTAAACCCTAAACCCTTCAGAGCCGACAGCTCGCACTGCCGAGGCCTACCTTCCAGTGGGGCTCGCCGGGGCGAGGGCCGATAACGTGCCTCGCGCCAGCCGCGTGCTCGGTGAGGTTGGCTTTGGGTGTAGGTCTTCGTGTTTAGTGGCTTAGGGCGTTTAGGGTTTAGGCTTTGGGTTTAGGGCGTTTAGGGTTTAGGTTTAGGTCTTAGTGTTTAGGGATTTCGGGCGTTTAGGATTTAGGCTTTGGGTTTAGGGCGTTTAGGTTTAGGCTTTGGGTTTGGTCTTCGTGTTTAGGGGCTTCAGGGTTTAGGGTTTAGGCTTTGGGCTTAAGGCGTTTAGGGTTTAGGTTTAGGCTTTGGGTTTAGGTCTTAGTGTTTAGGGATTTAGGGCGTTTAGGGTTTAGGCTTTGGGTTCAGGTCTTCGTGTTTAGGGGCTTCAGGGTTTAGGGTTTAGGCTTTGGGCTTAGGGATTTTGGGCGTTTAGGGTTCAGGCTTTGGGTTTAGGTTTTAGTGTTTAGGGATTTAGGGCGTTTAGGGTTTAGGCTTTGGGTTTGGTCTTAGTGTTTAGGGGCTTGAGGGTTTAGGGTTTAGGTTTAGGCTTTGGATTTAGGTCTTAGTGTTTAGGGCGTTGAGGGTTTAGGTTTAGGCTTTCGGTTTAGGTCTTAGTGTTTAAGGCGTTTAGGGTTTCGGGTTTAGGTTTAGGCTTTGGGTTTAGGTCTTAGTGCTTAGGGCGTGGAGGGTGTAGGGCGTAGGGTTCAAGGTTCACGGTTTCGGGTTCAGGTGCGGGGCTTTAGGGCTTATTGTTGGGGGATAGGGTTCAGGGATGTTTAGGCTGAAGGTTGAAGGTTTAGGGCTTATGGTTATGAGAGTGTAGGAGTGTAGGAGTGTAGGGTTTAGGGTTAAAGGTTCAGGGTTAGGGTGGAGGGCTTAGGGCTTAGGGTCTATTTGGGTTTTAGGGTGATAGCATAGGCAGGGGTCGGACCTTTATCATATTTTCAATCACAGCATACCGGGCCCCTATATTATCAGATTCCTGCACTGCCTCAATATTCCAAGCCACGATCTTGTCCACAACAGTAGGGTTCAGGGTTCAGGGATAAGGTCGCACATGTCCACGCAGGAGCTTTCGCGCCCTGCCCGGCCTGGGTCGTTATAGGCGAACGACTATCTACCCCCCACCGCTCCCCCTCTTGAGCCCCGAGGTTCTAAATCGCTCATTCCTGGCACGGATTTAGGGTTTGGGATGTAGGGTTTGGAGCGATCGTGCAGATTAAGGGAGACGACCTGACAATTCCAAAGACATTCGCAGAAAACATGACTTTCAAAGAGTTGCCAACTGTCAACCAGCCCCTTCACATCCCTTGGTTGTGTTTACGACAATGTTGAAGGCATTTGCTGGATACAAGTATATAGTATATCTACTGACTATGGCAACCCAGGCTTTGTTCGTTAACAAGAACCCCAAGCAGGCCTGATAAAAGCCTCTGAGGCCCTTTAAAGCCTTACAGCATTACAGCTCACGTTTAACACTCGGTATCACTGTCCAGCTGCACCTCTACACACCCTTGTAGCTGGCAATTTACAACTTATGTTCAACCGTTCAGAACGAGCCCTATAACCCCCAAACCCCCCAAACCCCGAAACTCATGTTTAACCGTCCGTATAACAAGCCGTACAAACCCTAAACCCCGAAAGTCATGTTTCCCATATTACAATACCCTTGTAGTAACCCTTATAGAAGCCTCAAAAGGAGCCCTGTTCTAATGACTCGTATTAAGGCCCCTATAGTGACCGTCCTTATAACAAGCCCCTAAACCCTCTAACCCCTAACCCCTAAACCCCTAAACCCCTAAACCCTAAACCCTAAACCTTAAACCCAAAACGTTAAACCCTAAACCCCTAAACCCTACACCCTAACCCCCTAAACCTAAGCCGCCCTCACCTGGCAACGTGAGGTTGGTGAGGACGGACTCCTCGTTGCGGGCCAAGGCTAGGGCCGCTTTCTGTTTTGTTGGAGTCAGATTTGTAGGGTTCAGGGATCCCTTGTAAAGGGATCAAAAGGGTGTAGGGTTTTTGGTTTAGGGTTTAGGGTCTAGAGTTTAGGGTCTAGGGTGGTTTGCGAGTATGGGGTTTGGGATTTCGGAAATTCGGGCGCAGTTTATTCTTGGCCGGGGCTTTGTCTGCGAGCTTTCCATCGTCGGCCCCAGAACGGTGAACTCTATCCCCAATTCTACAATTCTAAACAGCAAACAGGCCCTGCACCACACCCTAGTATAGAAGATGGAATCACCAGGAATGCTTTTCCTCTGGGGTTCGTCAGAAAGGAATCATGCTGTACTAATGCGCCCCGAAACGCACCCTAAACCCTAAACCCTAAACCCTAAACCCTAAACCCTAAACCCCTAAACCCTAAACCCTAAACCCTAAACCGTGGCATAAAGGTCCCCATGAGTCGCCCCTCATAATTTTCAAAGGGGAAAAGGAGGGACCCGTAATGGGGACCCATACCAAATAATGGGCTATATAATGGGTATATAATAGCTATATGAAGGTAGAAACCAGGGGGTCCTTATTAAGGGTCCCTCCTTTTACCCTTGGAGATTTGGCAGACACTCCATGATTGCGGCCTGCTTTCGTGACCTGCAGAGAGCTTTTGCTTCTTTCTTGTGTCCATCCCAACTCTGCGAGTTCGTTTGGAGGCCCTTTTTCGGAAATGGCACCGGGCACCGTTACCGTACATGTAAAAGTATACTACCTCAGTTCCCGTGTCATGCCCCCCGTACATCAGGCAGCACAGCATTTTACCCGGGAGCTGGGCTAAACGCCGTCCTACATCTGCAGCATATCCGCAACCCTATACCCTAAAAGTCCTTCAGCACGGTTTCCGGTTTATATAGGTTTTAGAGATTAGGAGTGCCTAAAGCCCTGCTCTCCCACGGCCCGTGGTTGTGAGGAAGGCGACACGCAGCTGGGACCCTACATCGCTCAAAGAATGGACACTCGTTGATGCCGGAGGCTCTGGAGATTGTGGTCTCGCGCTATCTGCGACGCTCTCCAGTGATGACTGCAAGATGGAGGGCGCTGGGCTTCGCACACTATAGGGGCCTAAATAATTGCCAATACTATTTTGGGGGTTCCTTCTTCTAACTATAGTATAATGGGCCCCAAAACACTATTCTAATTATTAAGGCCCCTATATTGAGTTTGACAGAGGTGACTGATGTGGTCACTGGGTTAAGTGGGGACGGTTAACGTCGCTTCCCAAAAGCTCTCCGCAAGAACCTACCCCCCCCTATGGCCGAAACATGATGGACAAGCCTTCAGACAGACCTCAAAATTCGCCAGATGCTAAACCCTAAACCCTCAACCCTAAACCCTAAACCCCTAAACCCTTAAACCCTAAACCCTAAACCCTAAACCCCTAAACCCTAAATCCTAAACCCTCAACCCTAAACCCTCAAGCCCTCGAGCCGGTTACTCTTATGTAAGGTTTAGGGCCCAGGGTAGTGTAGGGGCCTTGAAAACTAGAATAGGTTTTGGGGGTATAGTATACTATAATGATAAGAAGGAAGCCCCAAAGCGCAAGTCTCATTAAGGCCCCGACACCACCCCTTCAAGATGCCTACTGGGAACTTGTGTCGCCACGGTCTGGAGGCCTTAATCCGTCTCTGCTGTCCTTGAACTACAGCAAGGCTCGACACCCCTTGGATGCTTCGAGGTGGTGGCATGTAAGGTTTAGAGTTCAGGCCCTAACTAAGCTCACACGTTTTCGTTTACAAGAGTAGTCCAATTGGAGGCTATAGCTTTCAACATCAGCCACCTGAACTTTGAACCCCTTTGACGTTGCTCAGGCCCACCTACTAGAACCCGAAATACCCTCTACACTGGGATGTTAAATGCTTTTTCTGAAAGGTAGCTCGGCGAGGAAGCAGACTTGATCCCCCGATTTTTCAGAAGCCGCAGACGCCCTAAGAAACTGCAACACCTACGGAAGGCCCATTCAAAGCCATTGCAAAATCCGTCTAGACCCAGACTTTTTGTAACAGAGAGAGAGGGCCTCCTATACTTAGAGGATCATGGGACGTAGTAAGTAGGGATATAAGTAAGTCTATAGCTATATCTGCTTATCACCCCAAGTAAGGTACTTATAACCCTACTTACTAAGTCCCATGATCCTCCAAGTAGGGTTCTGAGATCTTCGTTTCTGGTGCCGATGTAACTTGCAGGCAATATCACAACTCCCCAGTTTGTGCTTCGATGCTGCGACGCGTGCGGGTGTTAAGCTAAGTAATTAACAATGGGCGTTTCCGAAAATTGGAGGTACCGTGTTTTGGGGTCCTTATGATAAGGATCCTGCTATTTAGGGTACTATATTAGCATCCCCTATTTTCGGAAACCCCCAAATCGGTCCGGCTGAAGCTAAGAACGTTCTCACCCTTCGAGCCGAAGCACCGCATTCTACTGACATTCGACCAAGCCACTGCAATTTAGAGCATGGTTTCATTCCGAAACAATCCCGACCTGAATTGCAAGTCTCTGCAACCTGTCTACTGACGGAAGCAGTCCATTTTGGTTTGGGGACATTCGTTCACGTATATGTGTACATGAATGTAGTGGCCAGAGCACCGGACGCAGCTGGCGTTCTTTGGGCTTCGACTCGGGTTTCAAAGTTCAGCAGTCCCACAATTTGACTGTAAACCCGGTTTAAGGAACGGGTCCACAGGGGGTAGAGGTTGAATGTGTTGGGAGTGCTAGCAGCAAGAGAATCCCACGGGTCTTGGGGGGGTTCGGTCGCGGCCCTTGGCAACATTCTGCAGCAAAGGCCAGTAGGCATGGCCTGCACATCTGGCACTCGCACGCTGGCGGCTGTTCAGTTCGTGCTTGTGATTCTTAACCTCACGGAAGACCTGCTCGCAGGGATCTTCATTGATGAATCTTATGGGCGTTTCTCTGGGTATGCCTTTGGAGATGGCCTGTTTGAAGTCATGGCCAAGCAATGGGCCCGCTGCTCGAGGTGGATGGTCTGTCTGGTCAGCTGCTTTGTTGAAGCCGGGCAGTGCATCCTCTATGTGTACTTCTGCAAAGGAGATGAGTCATGTGGCCGCTGATTTCGCTTGGAGCAGCACAGGTATTTTTCAAGACCGACGAGGGGATAGCAGCGTGCAGGGCACATGCAAAACTAGATGAGGTCAAAGATGTTGACTCAGCTACCGAGACCCAAGTCATTCTGCCAGTTATGCATCAATGGAGTGACCCGTGTACATGCTGCCACATCGATTTGATAAAATTGTGGCTGTTTCTACTCTCAGATATCCTTCACGGAGTCTTCCCGCTGCTGTTCCAAGAAGAGTCGCCTTTCCGTGAGACATGGTTTCGAGTAGGTGTTTGCGTGATGGTCTGGTGGAAGACTTTGCTACTCCGTTTGCACCCACATCTCGGCAGCGAACCTGCTATGATCCTGTTCCGGGCTCAAGTATCGGCTTCTTGGTTTTTGCCTGCCTGGTGTGGTACTGGGGGCTCTCGCAAGACCTGGTTGCAACCTTGGACCGGGTTTACACCATCATCTGCATGTCTGTCTCCTCCATTCTATGCCTCTTTGTGTGCTGCCTTTGTTGTGTGCATGGCTTCTTACTATGCAAAGCAATTGCAATCTCCAGCAAAATACCTGAGCCAAGTGACTGAGTCCGTGACTCCACTTGCCAAAGGCATTGTGGTTGCGCAGAGTTATCTGGATTGCTTTGGGCTGAGACTCTAAACGTCGAATGCTGAGCGCTCGGCAGCCGACAAGGAGTCGCAAGCATGAAGCTTACCTTTGGTTAGTAGGGAATGGAGGAATGGGGTACAATTATAACTACTATTGCTACCATTCTTCCATTCCCTGCTAACCAAAGGTAAGGATCCCTTTAAAGGAACCCTAAACCCCTATAGATCCCTTTAAAGGAGCCCTATTCCCTACTAGCCAAAGGTAAGACAAAGTCGCAAGCATGAAGCTCGTCCACCTGGACAAAAACACGCGATTGCCATAGGAGGACTCCGAGGAGTCTTTGAGAGTGTATGTAACATATGGGGGTTGTGAAAATTAGGGTCCCGCTTTTTGGGTCCTTAATGTAACACGGCACCGAATATTCAGGGAACCCAGAAAGGGACCCTAATTTTGACAACCATCCGTATGACACATGCCTTACAGTCTGGAGCCGTGCCTCGTGAGCCCTGTGTAGATCTTCCCTCCATTGTATTCACTCCCAGCTGGTCTCAGCTTTTTGGATCGGGTGGAGGATGGGCGACGAAAGTCCTGAGGGCAAAGGGATGCCCTGCCTGCTGAGCAAACACAAGGCAAGTGCAACTGTGGCACAGGTGAGCGATTTCAGAAAGCATACAGCAAGCCTGATGAAGCAGACATGAGTGTTCAAATTTTGTTGAATAACATAACTATCACTATTGCACTGCCCATCCCTTTCGAGGCGCTGTGACCGTTGAGCGGTTGCGCTGCGTATCCTTTTGCATGTTTCGGCCGAGCCGAAGCCTTCCCAACTCCCAATCATGCCCAAGCTTGTGGAGTCTTCCGCGGACGGGGATTTCGGAAAGAAGTCCGTGACTGTGTTGCAGAAGTTTCTGCCACTATTCTTCTGCTTCCTAAAGGCCCCTGTATTGGGGGTTTGGGTCGAGATGTGGTTTCAGCGTTGCAAGAGGCCTCTGGGTACATATCGGTGCGACCGAAAGCTCATTTCAACAGCAGCACGCTTCGAATCACAACTGACTGAAGGCAGTATTGCCATCACGTCATCAGCTGCACCCCATGCCGATGCCTTAAGAGCCTAAATCCTGCGACCGTAAAGCGTAACCAGCGGCCCCTACGGCGCAGCCAGGCACTCGACCGCCTACCAGAAGCTTTCGCTCGCATGAGCCTCGCAAGAAGGAGGCCGAATGCGGAGGGCCTTGTTTGAGGGCTCTGTATCTGTTCCAGAGCTACAGTAAAATGTGGCTTTAAAGGTTTTTGAGGTTTTGCAAGGGTTGGTTTGTGTGTGCAAACGGGTTTCAGAAGGGTTTGATTGGGTTTTTGAGTTCCTTCACCTTCTGGGACGGGCTTATTGCCACTGGTTGAGGATTCCTTGCTGGGTTCTCTGTGCTTTTCTGGCCTTTGCCTGTTCATGCATTGGATTTTATGGCATGGAGTGTCTGGGGCTGATGGCTTCAGCTTGGGGCTTCGGGGGTTCGAGCATGAAAGGGGTTTCAGTTAGAAGCTGCCCCCACCCTGTAATAGTGGTATAATAGAATATAATAGGGCCCTAATATAATATTAATATAATCCTGATAGTCACTATTACAGGGTGGGGGCAGCTTCTAAGGTTTCAGGGTTCCTGCAAGCATGTTTTTGGAAATTCGCAGTCGCAGGAGCCTTTGGCTTCATAATGGCTTTGGGTGGGTTCTGGGGCATGGTTTGAGTTTAGGGTTTAGGGTTTAGGGTTTAGGGCTAGGGAGCTTAGTTTGCATAGGACTGGGACAGCCCTTCGAGGGTTGAGGTTCAAGGCTTTGGGACGAGAAGTACACAATATTGCAGGGTTTCGCGTGTCAGGAAGGAGGCTAACGGCTAACCCTGAACTCTAAAGCCTATGGGGATTTGCAGTCAGCATATGGGTGGTTGTCAAAATTATATCCCTTTTTGGTCCCTAATAAAATACGGCACCTAATATTCAGGGTACCCATAAAAAGGGACCATAATTTTGACAACTACCCACATAGATGCTCCTTGCATCCTTGCAGTAGGTGGAGAGTCTGAGGATGCTTATGACTAGCAGACACGCGTGACACTCACATCGTGCAACCCCGAAGCTCCGGCGCTAAGACGGGGAGCCGTAACATGGGTATATATGTATATATGTATATATATATATACATATATATATATATATGTCTATGTTTGTATATCTATATGTATGTATATATATATGTATATATATATATATATATATGTATGTATGCATACACACATGTATCTATCTGCCCACCTTTCTATCTAGCTAGCTAGCCAGCCAGCTACTGGATCTATCTGTTCACCTACCTGTCCATCTGTCTCACTACCGACCTATCTATCTGTCTATCTATCTATCTTCATACAGGTGCGTATACATCCTCTTTGTATGTTACAAATATAAACATATCTCTTCCTGTCTCTCTGAATGTATGTATATATGTATATGGTATGTTTTAGATCATGTAGAAAATCTGAGAAAAACGGGTTATGAATGGAGCAGAGTAGTTGCAGTGACGGAAGAGTCGTGGCAGCAAGGGCAAGGGTCAGAAATGAGGTGCGTAGGAGTCCAGTGACCAGTGAATGCGAAGGTTTGGAGGGTATGATGATCCCTATGCAGACCCAGGGGTGAACTTTTATAACCAGGACATGTGAGCCAATAAGGTTGAAGGTTTTGGAGCTGGCAAGGACTTGGTCTTCAGGTTTGGCATCCGTAAGAGAGGTGCAAGGCCTTACAGTTTCCGAATCGACTCGAGGCATGCATACTGAAACCCCGATTGCTTTCATGGTTCTAAACTATAGATACATGAGGGACTCCGAACGAACGGCAGTACTAAGTCGTTCCTGCTCCTTTGCTATGGCTTCTGCCGGGCTCGAGGATTTGGCAATATTTGGCTCAAGGGATTGGAGGTCGCAGTTCGAGGTGTTGGTGGTTGAGGGCTTACCGACGGTGCTTCATCTTGCATTGTTCAGGTGTAGGGTTCCACACGGAGATTACTCTAAGCCCCAGGCCTTAAGCCTTTGGAATGGTTTGCCTGGCAAAGCCCTAAACCCTATAACCCTGAACCCTAAACCCTAAACCCTAAACCCTATAACCCTGAACCCTAAACCCTAAACCCTAAACCCTATAACCCTAATTCTTTTGTTGCGCCAGGCCTTCCGAAAGCCTCGAAGGCGCAGCCGGCACTTTTCCTCGAAGCCCTAAGCGTTTTGCGTCTGTAGTCGCCAAACAACCACCCCAAGCCGCAACCGGGGTATAGGGTAGGGTATAGGGTAGGGTATAGGGTAGGGTATAGGGCAGGGTATAGGTTATAGGGTCCAGCGATCAGGGTGTAAGCCCACTAAACCCTAAGACTAGGGGTCCCAATGACTAGAAAGCGAGCCACCAGTGCTTGTGCCAGAGATCAGGAGCCTTCGGAAACCCGAAACCGTAGGGTTTACGCTTGAGCATCGACAGGTTAAGGGTTTTGGACTCTAGTTCTAGGGTTTAGGATTATAAGTCTATTTAGCGGTTTAGGGTTTCGGGTTTAGGGTTTAGGCTACCCTAAACCCTAAACCCTACGGGGTTGAGGGTTTAGGATTCCGGGCTATGAAGCCCGAAGGAGCTGATGCCTTAGGGTTTGGAATGAGAGTTCTTGCAGATGGCTCACTTAAAGCAAGTAAAGCTCGGTTGCGGCAAGAAGCCCCGAAACCCTGAAGTTGGCTTTGTGGCTGCGCATGTTTCCGTTTCGGACTTGAGGGCGCCGTATTTGGTGTTCGAGCTTGGTTCCGCTAGGGGTGGGTCCCGAAACCCAAATGCGCACTAGGAGTTGCTAGCAGAACCGCCAGGTCAAGCACAGCATCGCAACCTTGTGCTAAGCTTGGAAGGTTTTTCTTTCCGTTGACTCATTGATGCAGATGGCAGTGATGACGGGGATGATGCCGAAGAAGGGATTGTGATGACCGCAGCGATCATGATAATGGTTGTGATGATGTTGATGATAACGATGGTGATGATGATGATGAGGGTGAGGATGACGACCGTGACCATCGTGACTGCCGTGGCGGTGACGAACATGATGATGTTAGTGGTCAACATGATGAGCAACTTCCTATGCTGCAAGCCCTTGGTTCAGCATCGTCACCTATTCGGGCTCATGGTCTTGTGCCTATAGTGATGTTGTACTGTTCTATCATGGTACGTACTGGTGTAAGTTCTACTGAACCCAGATGGAAGGAGCCGGCCCGGGGCGACATACGGATCTGCGCAGGTGCGAATGAGATGTCATTAGGGGGATTTGCTTAGACTTCATCTTATGCTCTCAACGCTTCAACCCTAATTTAAGGTTTAAGGTAAAAGCCAGAAAGTTGGAATATGATTATCCTAACCCTTCTATGGTAAATTATAGGGTATCCTACCATGAAACCATATTCCAACTTTCTGGAGTTCCCTATAGGGTTTAGGGCTGAGAGTTCAGGGTTGACACCCCTCAGCACTGAAAAGCTTTCGATCTGACCCCTGCGTCCTGAAAAGATCGTAAACCCGACTTAAAGCTTCCTACGGGTGGTTGTCAAAATTATGGCCCCTTTTTGGGTACCCTAAATATTAGATGCCGTATTATACTAAGGACCCTAAAAGGGACCCTAACATTGACAACCACCCATGCCCGAAACTCAGCACCCTAAGGCTTAAGCCCGGGAGCTCCATGTGGATGATTCACCAGGATTTTGGCTCTTGGGTCCAGGTTGTTTGGAGTTTGGATTTCGTTTTTCGGGTTCATGGTTTGTGGTCTAGCACCTTAGTGCTTTTTCAAAGATCTGAGCCCTGGACCCCGACCTCCAGCCGTCAACCTAAACTTTAACCCCGAAGGCCCAAGGGCCCCTTAGAAAGTGCCCGTTTAGGGTTTAGGGTTTAGGGTTTAGGGTTTAGGGTTTAGGATTTGGGGTTCTGCTTTCCGCAGCGCTCAACCCGAAAACCCAAGCACCACTCATATACAAACCGGATTGTCGGGGCCCCGATAACCTAACAACGTCAAATAAAGGCTACAAAGAGCCGCAAAATGATATTGGTATGTATGCAGGCAGCCGCTAAGCCCTAAGCCCCTAAACCTCAAACCCTAAACCCTAAACCCTAAACCCCTAAACCCTAAACCCTAAACCCTAATCCCTAAACCCTAAACCCTAGTCCCTAAACCCCAAGATCAAGGGTTGCAGGATCAGGTCCTCCGCCTTTCACGTCCAAGCCACACGGTTGAACCGAGGGTTTGGCCACTAGGCCCATCGACACTTCACGCACTTAGACTAGTGTGACACTAGGGTTCCTTTAAAGGGGTCTATAAGGGCTACCAGAAGGGCTACTATATGGATTTAGTGTTACACTAGGGTTCCTTTAAAGGAAGGGCCTACCAGAAGGGCTGCTATATGGATTTAGTATAGGGGCCTTAATAATTACCTATACTATTTTGAGGGTGCCTTGTGATAGTTAAAGCATAATGTAAAGCCCCTATAGCAGGCGAAAGAAGGAAGCATCGTAGGTACCGAATCAGGGAATGTGGACGATTTAAAGGCTCCGGAACTGTACAGTTTTGGCAGGTCTCCGGCTGGAGAGCCTGGGGCGTAGTGCTTTTTGGGTCCTGTCAACATGTCATCCTGAAGCGCTTCACCTGTCGTACCGGCAGCACCGGTATCCAACTTTGCTGGGCTTTTGTATCGGCTGGAGGGTAGTCGCGGCTATTGCCATTTCTAACCATAACTGCTAACCCTGAGTCCTGAAATCCAGCTTCCGATAAAACCTAGACACCTCCTGCCCGACACATGGGTGGGTGTCAAAATTATGGTCCCTTCTTGCGGCCCTATTATAATACGGCAATACGGCACCTATCATTTAGGGTACCCAAACAGGGGCCAGAATGTTGACAACTACCCACATGGAACCCCCGCCCGGTTATTGTTGACCTAAACCCTAAACCCTAAACCCTAAACCCTAAACCCTAAACCCTAAACCCTAAACCCTAAACCCTAAACCCTAAACCCTAAACCCTAAACCCTAAACCCCTAAACCCTAAACCCTAAACCCTAAACTCAAGGCATAGGCCGCCCACCTACTGTGGGTGGGCGGCGCTTAAGCCCCTCGACCTCGATGGCGCAGAGCGACCCAAGACGCCTGCCCGCCTCTCCACAGCCATGGGGACGGTAGCACCCACGTCAGGCCCGGTACCGGAGCAGGTTCTCCTTGGGACCAGTACTGGTCCCTATTAAAGTAATTACCCTAAACCCCAAGCCCTTCGCTCTGGGGGTGCTTTCCCATTTGGGCCCCCCTCCAAAAAAGGACCCCCCAGGGGGGGCCTGGGGCCTGCAGCGAGCAGAGTTCAAGGACCTAGGTGCCTCCAGGCCGGTCCTAGGAGGGACTTTGGACAAAAACTGTTTTTTTTGCCTTCCCCCTGGCCCCCCCTGGCCCCCCCTGGCCTCCCTGGCCCCCCTGGCCCCCCCTGGCCCCCCCTGGCCCCGCCTGACCGGCCCCCGGCCTTGGCTCTCTGGCCTCCCTGGCCCCCTCACCTACCTGGCCCTGCCCTGCTTTGCACTGCCTGAGGTTGAAGAAAAAGAAAACCGTAGACTGAGTTTAGGTGCTAAACCCTAAAAGGAATAGGTTTGGGTGGTTTGGCCGCCTTAGACGGCGTAGGGTGGGAGAGTGAATAAAAAGAGCCAACCACAATCAGGCTCAAACGTTGAATCGCTTGAGGACGATGCACTCGAAATTACACTGTCGCAAGCTACTCCCGCTTATGCGCCATTCTACGGCAAACCCTAAACCCTAAACCCTAAACCCTAAACCCTAAACCCTAAACCCTAAACCCTAAACCCTAAACCCTAAACCCTAAACCCTAAACCCTAAGGCGACAACCTAGAGCATCGCGGCAGCCGTCAGTCGAGGCTTCGTCTTCTCCTGATCATGTCTTAGGGGTACTTAGAAATAGTGTTTAATTTTTGGTTACTATAATCCCTCAAAAGCAGCTAAGGTTATAGTTTTTGCTAGGGTTCTAAGTTCAGTATAGTCATGTTGCTTGCTGCAAGTACGATTTTGGTCTCCCGGGCGCCGGGGTGTAGGGTTGTGTTAGAATCAAGGAGGAGGTCCTTCAGCACAGCCGTAGCAGCGTCTAGAACTGATGCTGATAATCAGAGGCTGCGACCTGTCATTTCAACATGTTCTTATCCGAGGTTGCGAATACTTTAGCAGACAGGATGCTGATGACGATGATAATGATGAGGATGCCCACGAACGGTAGCAATCGGCGTCGTCGTGGTCGTAGTGGCAGTGGTGGTGACTGTGGGTGTGACCGTGGTATAGTGGTAGTGAGACGGTTGATGATAAAGCCCTGCCTTACCCATAATAACGAATATGCCATGATTCCCATAGTTTAGGGTCCTTAGGGTAATGCAGGGTTCACATCATCAACAAGTACTTGGAGGATCGTGGGACTTAGTAAGTAAGGTTATCAGTACCTTAATTCGGGTTATAAGTAGCTGTAAGTATAGTTACCCTAATCATAACCCTAGTTACTAAGTCCCATGATCCTTCAAGTAGTCATAGGACCTTGTTCGGAGGTTGGCGAATTCCGCGAGTCTCGTGGAGCTTTCGATCGATGCCGCAAGCCCAAGGCCACGGCACAGAGCTGGTTTACGAAAATAGGGGTTCTATAAGGGTTCCTTTAAAGGGGTCTATAAGGGCTACTACAGGGGCGATAATGAGGATGTAATATAGGGGCCTAAATTTATTGCCAATACGGTTTTGGGGGTTCCTTACTGTAGTTATAGTATAACATACCCCGAAACCGTATTCTAACCATTGTGGCCCCTATTAGATTACAGGGTTCAAGGTTTCAGGGTGGCCTTTTACTAGGAGCAACTTAGCTCTAGTAGTGACCCCTATCACCCTTTTCGGTGCTTCGAATACGCAAGGGCTCGCCGGTTTGGTTTTAGATCTTCCAGCCTCAGCCATGTTTGTTGGTTTACACGTCGTTCATGTTTGCCTCATCCATAAGCGATATGAACATACATATATATATATATATATATACATATGTATACACACACACACATGTTTTCACATGACCTCTATGCTTGTGTAGACATATGTATGCTTGCAGTACGCATAACACATGTATGCCAGTGAGTACTGCATTCAAGTAGAGGTATTGTCACGTACTGTAGTGAGAAAGGTATGTAGTGCAATGCATTGTAGTCTAGTGTGTTGCACGTTTATGCCATGTATATGCATATGCATATGTATGAACATATGCGTTCATGTGTATATAGATACATGTATGTATGTATGTATGTATGTATGTATGTATCTGTGCATGTATGTATGTACGTATGTATGTATGTATGTAAGTGTATACGTGAAGATGTATATTTGTGTATGTGTAGATGTATTTGTCTCTGTGTGTGTATGCGTCTGCCTAGACGTGTGTATGTATATATGTCTACGCAAACCTATATGTGCAGTTCAGGTGGAGGTGCATATGTGCAATATGTACACCTAGATGTGCGTGTACATGGATGTTTTTATGTACGTACGCATAGGCACACATGAGTGCTTATTTATGTGTGTTGCTTGCGTTGTTTGCTGTTTTGTCTGTTTGTCTGGCTGGTTGTTCCTTTGTTTTTGTGGTGTCTTTGTTGTTTGCTTCTCTGCTTAGCTTGCTTGCTTGCTTGCTTTCTTGTTTGGCTTTCTGGCTTGATAGTGCGCGTTGCTTTATACCTGCTTCTTTGTGTGCTGGCGTTTACTTTTTTGTCTGAGCCTGGTTGTTTGCTCGTGTCTTTGTTTATGTGTATTTTTGGTCTGAGGCTACCTCCTAAAAAAGGTATATGTCCGCACATTGAGTACGTGTGCATTTGTGTGCATACGCGTACATGCCCAGGTCAACACAGAAATGTGTTCAGGCGGCACTGCCAAACCCTGAACCCAAACCCTCAACCCTGAACAAAATTCCTCAACCCTAAAACCCTAAACCCCAAATCCTGACCCCTGAATCCGAAGACCCAAATTAAATTCCTCAACCTCAAACCCTAAACCCTGACCCCTGAATCCGAAGCCCCCGAATCCCAAACCCCAAACTAATCCCTCAACCCTAAACCCCAAACCCTGACCCCTGAATCCGAAATCCCAAATTAAGTCCCTCAACCCTAAACCCTGACCCCTCAATCCGAAAACCCAGACTAAATCCCTCAACCCTGACCCTCGAATCCGCAACCCCAAACAAAACCTCTCCGCCCTAAACCCCGAAACCTTGCCCCCGCATCCGAAACCCCAACCTAAATCCCTCAACACTACACCTTAAACCCTGACCCCTGAATCCGAAACACCAAACAAAATCCCTCAACCCTACACCCTAAGCCCTACGACCTAAACCCCTAAACCCTAAACCCTAAACCCTTTTCCCTTCTGTTGCCAGGCTGTCCCTTTGGGATCCTCGGGGTCCACGCACCGATCACTCCTGCCTCACGGCACGAACTCTTAGAACTCGGTGGCTTAGTTTAGGGTTTAGGGTTTAGGGTTTATGGGTTTAGGGTTTCAGGGTTTAGAGTTTCACGGTTTAGGGTTTGGGGAAAAGGCGCCATGCAAGGCTGTTAATAGCAAGTCTTGTTGAGTCTCGCTGGTGGCCAGAGAGTATGGAACATCCTCATTGCACTGTTGTGTCGTTTGAACTATTTCGGTATGCTTCTTCCAGGAGTTTTTCCATGCCGGCACGGAGTAGATGGCAGGCAAGCCACCCTGCTCACTGGACAACATAACATAACTTAACATAGAGGACTTAATAGTTACCTATGCTCTCTTTTTTTTGGAGGAGGGGGGGAATCCGTTCTTCCGTTTTAGAATTCTAGTGTAAAGGGCCCCAAAACCCTATTCTAGTTATCAAAGCCCCTATATTAGGCTGAAGGGCGAAGGCCTGAAACTTCAGAGTCCATGCATACCAAGATTGCTCGCCAGCTTACTCACTAAGCCCCATAAACCCTAAACCCTGCAACCCCCCACCCCAAACCCTAAGCCCGGAACGCCCCCACCACGAACCTTAAAGCGACCGCCAACGAGGCCCTCCAACCCCGGAAACCATGCGAAGCCCTATAAGGTTATTTGCTAGCGATACTTACAATCAGGGTCCTAGTTTTTTTTTGGTTTCTTGGCTTAGGAACTTTATTTGGGGCTATGCTTCAAGTTCTCCGAAGGAAATGTCCTTCATGTTCTGATGCTGTCAAGTAGGCCGCTGGGATACTTTGTGGTGTTCGCCTTGTTGTGTCTAAGGAGATCTTAACTGCTCCTCAGGGTTCATGCAATATAGCTATGCTGATTTGGTATAGCTATACTACACTACTTACATATATATATATATATATATATATATATATATCTATATATATATATATAGATAGATACGTATGTATGTATATGTATCACCTAGCCACCTACTTACCTACTTCCCTACTGACCTTTTACCTAGCTATCTATAACTGCCAAAACCCCAATTACTGGACGTACCGAGGCTGCCATCATTTTTCAGAGTGTCTTACTGTCCAACCTCAGGTGGTTGGGGCCTAAAGCCCCATCAGGTCCTGAAAACCGAAATCCACCGCTAAAGTCTTAGGTGATTTAGGGCAAATGGTTCACGGGGCGGGGCCCCGACAGGAACCCTAAACCCAAAGCCTCGAAACCCTGAAATCCTCGAGGTGCGGCCTGCGGCGCTAGCCCCTCTCTGAAGGCAAGCTGTCCCACGTTTCATACTATTCCTAAGGTTTCCTGAAACAAGTTATGTATAGCAGACCCCCAGACCCTGTCCTAACCATCAAGGTCCCTACACTAAACCCGCTATTACACCCCCCATACGCTTACTGTAGGCCTTACTGTAGATTAAGAAAGTCACCTTTTACGATCATGCAATGGAAAAAGGTAAGCCAAGAGGTCAAATGGCCCCATGGTTTACGGTCTGATGGTTTAGTGACCTTAAACCCTAAACCCTAAACCCTAAACCCTAAACCCTAAACTTAGTGTCCAGCGGATGTACAGCAGAGGTTAAGACTTCAGGGCTTCAAATTCACATCGCGTCAGGCTTTATGGTGTTGGGTGGAACGTAACCTTGACACACAAAGACACAGCCTACATAGAACCCGAATAGACAGCTTTTCAACTCCGGGCTCTAGATCCTGAGCCAAAATCCTGCACTAAATTCTATAGGTGTATAGAAGCCCGCAACCTTCTTCTCCCGGGAGGAGTAGCTTGGACTCTAAATCGGTGCAAGACATCACCCAGACCACAAAGTGCATCCACACATGGCAGCCCTAGGAAGAATGTCCCCTTAGCCCCAAACCCTGAGCTGGAACTAATCCGCTTTTATTTTCTGGTTCCTGGCAGCAAAAGCTCTGGCTTCAGTCGGTGGTACTCCAGTTAATGTAAGCCGGGCTGTAGCGAGGAGGCGTCATAGTGCGAGCTCAGATACCTCATGTGATTTGTAGAATCCACCAGAAGTCTTTCAGAAGGGATTTATGGTCAGTAGTGGTTCGGCAGATGGTGCACAAGCTATTTCATGTTCACGGTGTGAACAGTGTAAGCATTGCGCAAGGTATCTTCAGCACCAGACGCTGCTGATCCTTGGCCTGCCGAAGGGTCAGGCGTGCCAAAGTTTGCGCCCTTCCCGAGAAGTTGGGGGACATCGGGCTCAAGGTTATGAGTTCTGATTTAGACGGCTCGACCTGGTTTACAGTCCGAACTCTACTTGTAGTTGTGCAAGACTGCAAATAGCCAAACTCGACCGTTCTGCTGTGTTTCAGGCCTGTGTCCCTTCCGTGAATGTACAAAGCAAGTAGCACGACGCAGGCAGAAAGTGGCCGGCAGATACATGTTTCTCGCTTGATTGATGACTTTTTTTTGCGTTGCAGAGCCCGAACCTCGAGCTGCTTGTTTGTCACAATACACACTATCAGTCACTATCATCGACATTCGCCGGCACATGAAGACCTTCTCACTTATGTCTGGAACTAGAGTTGTAAAAGCGGCATCAGCTTTATCCAATTCACCCGAGATTTGCTTGCGAAGGACTTAACGGTCGAAGAGTAATGTTAAGATCAGCAATGACAGAATCATGCATTCCGCCACTGTATTATGCTGTTCTGCTTTTGTCTTCTGACCACTGCCGGGCATGAAGCCTGTCGATGCTGTGCATGAGACGTAGACGAGGCGGACTTGTGCAACAAGCGCAGGGCCAACAGCAAAAGGCGAACCAGCCAATCGGAGAGAAAGCTTCTGGTCCGTTGTTGTGGTGGGTGATGCGATCGAGCTACTACTACTACTACTACGACTACTACTACTCCTCCTGCTGCTGCTGCTGCTACTGCTACTCTTCTACTGCTTCTGTTACTACTACTGCTACTGCTACTGCTACTCTTCTACTGCTACTGCTACTACTACTTCTACTACTACTACTACTCCTGCTGCTACTACTACTACTACTACTACTACTACTACTACTACTACTACTACACGACGACGACTACTCCTGCTGCTGCTGCTGCTGCTGCTGCGACGACTGCTTATTTTCATCGCTGCGTGGTCAACTAAGTTCCTGCTTCTGTGGTTGAGGAGTAGCAGCAGCAGGTAGCCTTGGGATAGGCATCAAAAAATTAAATTTGGATCAAAAAAAATAAATTAGGATCAAACAAAATGAAATTTGGATCAAAAAAAATTAACCTAGCCGAAACCACGACAGGAAGGAAAGAAGGAAGGAAGAAAGGAAGGAAGGAAGGAGGAAGAAAGGAAGGAAGGAGGGAAGAACGAAAGGAAGGAGGGAAGGAGCAAAGGAGGGAAGGAAAGAAGGAAGGAAGGAGAGAAGGCAGGAAAGAGAAACGCAGGAAGGAAGGAAGGAAGGAAGGAAAAAAACAAGGAAGCAGCGAAGAAAGAAAGAAAGAAAAGCAAGAGGGAATGAAAGGAAATGGAAGGAAAGTTCCCCCCCACCCCCGTGTCTTTTTAAACTGCAAACTGCCCGCTTTCTTCAGCTGTCGATGAAATGAGTTAAAGACGTTTTTTTTCCAACGCACAAGAAGGACAAAGCCACACGGAAACGCTTCAGGGGGTTTAAATAGCGACGAGGATAAAGTTTCTCGTGAATGAAACGCCTTCACCGACAGGCAAAAGGGCGAAAGCCAGACGTACTCGTTTTGGGAAGGCAAGACCAAGAACACAAGAAAACAAAGTAGAACGAAAACGTGCGTCTCTTTGGATAACGAAGAAGGGGAGGAGCCACATGAAATCGCTTTAGGGGGTAAAAGCGAGCAAAACAAAGTTCATGTTGGAAGGTTTGCAAATGGGGGGGCTGCCCCCCCCCCCAGCCGCCCCCTCTTTTTTAACTGCAAACTGCGCGCTTTCCGGGGGGTTTAAAAAGTGAAGAAGATGAAGTTTCTCATGAATGAAACGTCTTCACCGACAGGCAAAGGGACGAAAGCCAGACGTACTCCCTTTGGGAAGACAAGAACAAGAAAACAAAGTAAAACGATAACATACGTCTCTTCGGCTAACGAAGAGAGGGAGAAGCCACATGAAATCGCTTTAGGGGGGTAGAGGCGAGCAAAGCAAAGCTCATGTTGGAAGGTTTGGAAGGTTTGCAAATGGGGGTTTCGCCCCCCCCCCCCCCAACGAAAACGCGACAGGCGGTTAAAAAAACAAAGCAGACAAAATTTTCACAAATGAAACGTCTTCACCGATAGGCAAGGGGCGAAAGCCAGACGTGCTCGCTTTGGGAGGGCAAGACCAAGAAAACAAAATAAAACGAAGACGTGCATCTCTTTGGATAACGGAGACAGGGAGAAGCCGCATGAAATTGCTTTGGGGGGTAAAAGCGAGCAAAGCAAAGCTCATGTTGAAAGGTTTGCAAATTGGGGGGGGGCTGCGCCCCCCCCCCCCAACCCCCCCGCTTCTTTAGCTGCAAACCGCCCGCTTTCTTAAGTTCTCCAGCCACATGAATCGCTCTACGGGGGTAAAATCGAGCCACATGAAATCGCTTTAGAGGGGGTATAAGCGAGCAAAACAAAGTTCATGTTGGAAGGTTTGCAACTGGGGGGTGGCTGCGCCCCCCCTTCAACCCCCCCCGCTTTTAACTGCAACCTGCCCGCTTTCTTAAGCTGTCGATGAAATGAATTAAAGACGTTTGTTCTAAACGCACAACAAGGACAAAGCCACACGTTCACACTTCAGGGCATTTAACTTTCGAAGAATAGAAGATTTCTCACGAATGTGCACGTCTTCACCGACAGGCACAAGGGCGTCAGCCAGATGAAGCCAAGAGCAAGAAACAAGAAAACACAGGTAAACCGACAACAAGTTGAGTCTCTCTGGAAAACGAAGAGAGGGAGAAGCCACATGAACTGCCCGCTTTCGTAACTTGTCGAGACGCATGACATCGCCTTAGGGGGGCAAAAGCGAAGTACTGATTTAAGCTTTTTGATATTGTTTTTCATTTTTTTGAGTCCTTGTTTTTTTGATCCAATTTTTTTTTTGATCCGTCACCCTCGATCACCCCTTGTTTTTTGTGTCATTCTGTGGCCGAAGTGCTGATTTAATTATTTGTTGATCCAATTTTTATTTTTTTGATCTTTGTGCTTTAATTTTTTTGATCCAAATTTTATTTTTTTGATCCGTCACCCTAGCAATGCAGTAGGAGGAGGAGTATAGTAGCAGCACTAGCAGTAGTAGAAGCAGCAGCGGCTGCAGCCATCTTAGCAGTCGTAGTCTTTTGTGCCTTCGTCGTCGTGGTATGAGTATTCAGCTGTCGTCGTCGCCGCCGCCGCAGAATGCGTGATTTCTGCGCATCGTTGCCCTGTACTCTGACTGCAAGACCTGAGTTTGCCTCCTCCTCCCCTGTTGGGAACTGTAACCCTAAACCCGAAACCCCTGGAGATAGGCTCGGGGGTTCTCCCAGATCCTCCGAGTCGCAGCTCTGAACGAAGACCCGAATCGTGCCCTCGCGCCGCATCTTTCAAGCCACCAGTCGTCTGGCAAACATGAGCGAAAACCTGAAACCCGAAGCCCCTGACTCTCTAGAGTTTAGGGCTGGACTATACATAGCCATATTCCAGACCTACCGTAGGTCGCGGGGTTGCAGCGGGGCTGCTTTCCATGTTTACTCCTCCCGCCTGGGAATGCGCAACATGAGGGAAGCCGCTTGGTTCGCAAAGCTGCTGTCCCCTCAACCCTAAACCCCTAAGCCCTCGACACCCAATCCTAAACCCCGACCCCTCAACCCTGTATCCCTAAACCCCTAAACCCTGAACCCCTAAATCCTGAACCCCGCCGGTACGGCTATGATGTCATGTATGCAGTAGGTAGGGTTTAGGGTTTGGTGTTTAGGGTTTGGGGTTTAGGGTTTGGGGTTTAGGTGTTTGGGGTGTAGGGTTTGGGGTTTAGGGTTTGGGGTTTAGGGTTTTGGGGCTTAGGGTTTAGGTGCAGGAGTACTGGAAATTTCCATGCTGAGTCTGATGAAAGTAGCCAGTGTAACGGCACGGGCAAGGTTGACAACGTCGTTCATCATCCTGCTCGCACGTTTTGGGGTTTCGTTTGAGTTTCAGGGGCCATTTGTAGCGACTCCCTTGCCCTCGAAGTGTCAAGGCCCTAGAGATTGCAGGGCTGATCATGACGACGATGGCTATGAGGATGATCAAGATGCAGGTCTCTGCGATGTTCATGATGATGGTGGTGAGCAT